CTAGAAAACTTAACAGATCCAAAAGAGAAGAATGTGTCAGCAATTTAAAATGTTTGTAGAAGAACAACATTGACCTTAAACTCACAAAACAATCAAATGAACAACCAAGAAACTATTTCACAGAAGGAGATATATGAACAAGACGTTTAACACAAAAAAAAAACATCGCATAACCCTATTAAACAAAAGTTTTTAACTGGTTTTTAAAATATAACCGGTATTTAGATATGGGCATCAAATGAAAACTTAAGAAATTGTCTTATGTTGAGATGCCAAACACGGAATGGAAGTTAGAGAAGAAAACAGTTATTACCATAAAACTTAAAAATTTAAAGAATATTTTTTGATCTTTACGAAATTTTGCACTTATTCAACAGAGAAAATCTTAAACTTAAGAAAACTTATTTTATTTGAATAGTAGCTTTGAGTCCGTTAAATCATTGCATCACATTGAATAATTTCAATGAATAATTTCTGGTTGCGGGTTATTTTTTGTTATTTCTTTTTAGTTATTGGGTGGGGGCCATTTTTATGGTTGTATATTTTCCATGTAGTACATAATTTTATTGTTTTTTCTCTTTTTTAAAGATTTTTTTGCTATACTTGTAGTAGCTACATTCGATCTGTTGGAAACGAGCGATGATTAGCGCTTAAGTGTATTGATGTCTCTTGCCTTTTTCCTCTCTACCTTGCTAAACTGTTGTTCAGCTTGGTAGAGGAGTTGTGTCTGAGGGTCTAATTACTAAATTGCTACTAAATTTGAATTATTATTATTATTTTTTTTTGTATATATATATATTACTATTCGTTGATAATTTTTGTTATTTATTTAGTTTTTTTCAGATAAATATGGTTATAGGCTGTTTTTATACTGTTGTATGTTAATATAAGATATTGGCCATGTTGGCTTATTAATATTGAATTGTATGAAATAAATGAAATGAAAAATGAAATGAAACTGTATAAAAGCAATTATATACAATTGATTTTTACTACACCTTCGAAGGGATCGACGTAGATGGCTAAAATATTGGTCGTATGTATATTAAATCTGATATATTCATGCGATTGAAATGGTATATCGCATAACGTTACCTCACTATATTCTGTATTTTGATGATTTAAGCCGCATTTTTAACGGAACTGTTTGAACTTTTGAATTTTAAACTACTAGTTTTTGATATTCCCGATGAGTAAAAATTGTCCCAGCATGACTACGTTTTTCTATATATCCTCCATATTATGATATCTTCCGATATTCGATATGAGTTGCTCATAATTTAGATTTTCAACAATAAACTAATAACGTTATTTTCATAGGTGGGTCTTAAGAAGCATATGTAGTTTTTAATATCGTTCAAATTACTTAAAGACATATTTATGATGTCTTTTTATTTTTATTATCATTCCAATTTTTCTGCTATGAAAGCATTTTGCACGGCGTGGTAGCGCTAGGATGCCTGCGGTCAATTTAAATCTCAATCATTTCTTCTGCATTAATGCGTTGGAATAAATAAAAGCCTGAACTTCATTTAAGCTTGAATGTTATATGACTTTGGATATGATTAAAACGAGTAAGCAAAGTCCAAGTCGGTCGGGGCCTACCGTGTGATATCCTACAACACTAATTTACGGTAAGGTTTCTGTTGATGTAATAATTGGTCTACTTAAAAATCATTCGGGATATAAAGGTATGTCTTCTCAATTTTAATTAGTAGAGTTCAGATGTAACATTTGGTCCTCTTTTTGGATAATTCTCAAAGATCTAAAACAATGTTTCCAAAGCCCAACGATATCTAAACAATTACAAAATAAAACATCTGTATAAGACGAAGTAGAAATTTCCCTGCTATTGGCTCCAAGGCAAAGATAACAAATTTCATTATTTCACATAATGAACATTTCATGTGTTTCATATGTATGCTCCATTTCATTTTTGAAGTAGTATGCTAGTATGTATAGAAAACAATATTTGAAATTTTAGTTTCCAGTGTGTATTTAGCAATGTCTCCGATATCTGAATATATATTTCAACGAAAACAGTGCTGATGAAAGCGTGAGAATTTACCTTTTAGTGTGTATATGAATTGTGACTTTAAGAATTTTGCATACAAAAGTTATCTATTTTACCATCCGAAATCGATGACCAACCAAAATAGTCTTAAACTCTGACCCATGCAAAAACAATACCCACTGAAAGAACAATACATTTTGTGTACATTTTAATAATTGACCTGTTGTCCAATATTCGCAATCAATAGTTTTTTTTTTTCTATCTGAGATCACCACATGTCAAATATTAAGCCTTTTGGAAAGTTATATGGGCCGATATCAAATTGTGGACATATCTTTACATATTTTGTAGGGAGGGATTATATCTACATAGAACATGAAATTTCAAGTTACACATGACTGGATTTAAAAGTATGGAGATTTTTATAGGGATAGATTCTATCTGCTCAGGACCCGAAATTTGAAATTACACAACATTTTATATTTTGTTCAAGTCTTTTCTAATCTGCAATATTCCAAATGTAACAGGCAAACAGCAACTTTAGCAGTATCAACAACCTTTTTAATAAAATGCAGACAACTAAGAGTAGTTCCAAGGTTCATCTCTAATGCTACTAAAGACACTAACAACATATTCCAAACAAATGAGAAAATCATGTCAAATTTATTATAAACACTTGAAAAATACAATTTCCACATATAAATACTGAAGCTTCTAATACAACAAAAACATAAAGAAATCCACAACATCAAAACTATACTCAAACAAGAAAAAAAAAACATTAAGTTTGGCCGGGCCGAATTTTTAATACCCTCCACCTTAGGGTAATGGTATTAAAATTTTATTTCTAATCTGCAATATTCCAAATGTAACAGGCAAACAGCAACTTTAACAGTATCAACAACCTTTTTAATAAAATGCAGACAACTAAGAGTAGTTCCAAGGTTGATCTCTAATGCTACTAAAGACACTAACAACATATTCCAAACAAATGAGAAAATCATGTCAAATTTATTATAAACACTTGAAAAATACAATTTCCACATATAAATACTAAAGCTTCTAATACAACAAAAACATAAAGAAATCCACAACATCAAAACTATACTCAAACAAGTAAAAAAACATTAAGTTTGGTCGGGCCGAGTTTTTAATACCCTCCACCTTAGGGTAATGGAAACATTAGAACCAATTATGACCCACTAATACCAAATTTTAGACATATTCGTGGGAAAATATGGCAAAAATCATCAAAATACCGAATATCGGGAGGTACCGCTATATAGAGCTATACAAAAAACGAGGACCTATACATACAATATTTCGCCAATGGAGCTAGACCAATTTTTAGGCAAATCCATTAAAAATGTGGCAAAAATCATCAAAATACCGAATATCTTATTACCAAGGCGTGGACCTATATACATGCAATGTTTCGCCACACAAACTAGGACCCACTATGACCTACTAATACCAATTTTTTAGACAAATCCATGAAAAAATGTTGCAAAAATCATCAAAATACCGAATTTTGGGAGGTACCGTTATGTGGTGGCTACACCAAAGCGTGGACCCATACATACAATATTTCGCCACAATATAAAAATACCAATTTTCAGACAAATCCGTGAAAAAATGTGGCAAAAGGTACCGTTATATGGGGATTATACCAAAACGTGGACCGATATATCTCATTTTCAATACCAACCATCCTAGACTCAATACAAATTATTCTGCTAAATTTTGACGCTATACGTCAAATAATGTGGTTGGACATCGTTAAATCGGCTTAGAATTTAATGCTGATTATGAATATATATATATATACATTATGGGATCATATGGGATCTTTAGGGATGTTCCAAACGGAATGATAAAGTTAATATACCCTCCTTTCCAAGGTGGAGGGTATAAAAAACTAAAACGAAAAAAACAACCTCACCCATCGTAAACTGTGGTAGTACCTTCTCTGCAGGAATATATCTTATACTATGTAGTACTCTTTGTTTCTCCTTATCACACTCGGGATGCTCGACAATGTGGCGATTAAAATTACCAGCGCACCTCCTAGGATCACTTTAGCGAGCGCTGCAGTTCGATCATCAGAAGGGTTGAGCAGTTCTCCGAAGCTTTCCAATGGTTAAGGAAAGCGGCGTTCAGAGGTAATGAAATTGGGCGACGTTGACGACTACTCCCATACATTCCATGTATGGCCACTAGAGACAAGCTCAAGCGAGATAGGTCTGTATTGATAAAAATGGCATAACAGGTGCGATATTTCCTCAATACATTGTAGACATTGCAATGTTGTAGGTTAAAATTTTAATTGAGCTTGGTGTCTGCACCACAGCTATCAAGATATTCTTCCAATTCATGAAATCCATTATCTTATCAATTTTACCTCGAAGTCCGTTGCAATTGAATTGCAAGGAGACGTGGACTCGTGGACTACCTTGTATCGCTAAATCTCACAACCAGGTTAGACCGGAACAGTTCCCATCCTCTGTATCCTTAAAATTTTGTTTTGACATTTGTTTTCAACAGATTTGTGGTGCTGCACCGATCAGGTGTGAAGATCAATCTGCAATGTCGTCATCGAATTTCATTTTATAGCCTTATGAATTTATTTCCTTTTGTCATAAATATGATTGGATCTAATCGATTCTTATGATGTTGAGTTTGCCTATTTATATTATATAGCTTTACAATTATTTTGCTTTACAATTATTTTGCTATTTATAGATTTCCACTTGTTGACTGATCGTCGTTGATTCGATACCTATGGTCCTGGTTCACACGAACTTCCATTTTGTCTGTCAGCTTTTAGTCGTATTGTCATCACATTGTTGCGCGTTTAAACCTCATGTTGCTTCGAAGTGAGAATTTGGTCAATTAACATTTTCCTTCTTTGCTTTTATCGTCTATTCGCATTCAGTTGTGATTGTTTTAATTCCAATAAAAGTTAAGAAGCTATTTATTTCCGTAGGTGATGACATCCGTATCGGGCCATCTTTTGCAATTGGAGTTTCTAAATTCATATCGTAACTGGCAAAATGTGGACCCAGAAAGTCTATTTGATGCTCCTATTCGCAAAGGTTGCAATGAACAATATCAACCTATAAAAAGGACGATAGAAAGAGAGGTTCGAAGTTGTCAAGGGCTTATTATATGGACAGATTGTGATCGCGAGGGTGAAAATATTGGTTTTGAAATAATCGACGTGTGCCGCGCTATTAAGCCTAATATTGTTGTATATCGCGCAATATTTTCTGAAATCACAGGGACTGCGGTGAAAAGAGCATTACAAAATCTAACTGCTCCAGACAAAAGGCAAAGCGATGCAGTAGACGTTCGCACTGAATTAGATTTGAGAACTGGAGCCGCAATTACACGATTTCAGACAATGCGATTACAGAGAATTTTTCCTGAAAAAATATCCGATAAATTAATATCATACGGAAGCTGTCAAATACCAACTTTAGGATTCGTTGCTGAGCGATACAAAGAAATTGAGGCATTTGTGTCGGAACCCTTTTGGAAGATAAAAGGTAATTTTTAATAATGTTAACATAATTTTACCTTCAAGGTTAAGGAAAATTTTTTGTATCCAGTAAAAGAAAATACATTCATCTATTTTCACAGTCTGGGTATAAAGGGAAACCGTGAACTAGCCCACAATGATGTATTCTCGTACTTGTATAAGAATAAAACTGGTAAAATGGAAATGGTCAGAATTAACTTCATCTAGGAAATGCGGGAACATTAAACTATAAATATGCAAAAATTTCATGTCAATACTTTAAAATCGGCATATTGCCAACAAAATATTACAAACTTGACTATTTTTTGAAAAGAGCGACATTTCTGGGGTTGAGAAATTTTTGCATGGAATTAGTAGTCTGGATTATGATGTTTTCCAATTAACTTTATTAATCCACAACATCCGCCAATAACAAAAGTTGAGTAAATTGCGTAAACAATAGGGAAAATGCAAATTATAAACATCTTGATGCCTTAGATCATAAGGATTTTACATTTTTATTGAATTTGAACCACTTACATTTTGTAACGATGTGGGTAATGAATTTAAAACAATGAAAATAACGGATTTTAAACCTATTCGCAGCGGCAACCTGAACCACTACAGGTTAATAACGCCAAATTCAAACAATTAAAAAAATCTTAAATATTTTGGGTTTGTTACTAGAGAGATATAAAAAGTTGACTAGATGTAAGCCGGACAGAAATAAATATTCACTCTGATAATCCTTCTTCTGTAACATTTATTATTTTTTTATTAAGATGTTAAATGTTTATGAACATTTGAAAATAATTATCTCAAACAATTAATAAATATTTATGTTAAGGGGAGGATGTAAACATAACAATTTACATTAATATAAGACTATTTTAAAGTTTTCAATCTTATGGCATGTTTTGACTGTTTTTTTTTTTCATTAAATATATATTTTTCATTTAATATTCCCTTTTGCAAATGTTTATTCCTTCAACTGGTTCCAATGCAATCCTTCACCTGTCTTGATATCCCATGCATGTTAGTTTGACAGTGTTTTTGATAATTCATTGAGTAAAAGTTACATAAACTATTAAAAGAAATATATTGCTTTAATTGAAGTTCCTTCTTTCCCATATGTGCAATCTGAAATACTTGTCGGGCTATACTATAAATTCAATCGATCATATTCTTCGTTTCGTTTCCCAAAATAGCTCTCATTTTATTTTTATTTTATTTATTCCACAGATACAGTTACATAGTCCATTGGGTTATGAATCGTTTCAACTACACGAAATATACAAATAACAATATTTCCATTAAAAAAATAATACATATGATTACACGACTTTACCTTCCTAGTTCTACCATGCGGAAATGGTTACAAGTAACGGATCGAAATAGGTAATATATTACAGCGTTACCTAACATTCACACATATATTCAACTTTACCACTATGGTAAGAAGTTTTGTACGTCCATATTACCCAAATACGCCAGGTCCATATCTTATAATCTACCAGAAAAAATCGTAAAAATTGGTCCTTTATATTCACCCTTCACAACATTACGAAAATTCAACGCACAAAAAAGGAAATCGTTTCAATAGTCAAAGTTGAAAGTGTTCAACTTAAAATTTTGTACGTCCGACGTATTTGGGTAACACTCATATAAATACATGTGTTTTACTTGTGTGGTGAATAACGTCGACCGAGTACGTGAAATTTTAGGTAACGCTCTTATGTCTTATGTCGAATTATCAATAAAGGGAAAACAAATCTTTTTAGCATCCACATAAGAATGTCCTCAAATTGTAGAAAATTTTAAAAAATCCTAACCGAGAAAGGGTAGAACAGGTTTAAAAGTATTTAAAAATGTATTATTATTATCTACAAATCTGATAACTCTACATTAAGAGGTCAGGCAGGACAAACCTCGACAAAAAACATTTTGTTTCTATATTGTCGATAATGTAAATAAGTAAAACACGTTCGGAAATGAACAGTACAAAATGATAGTATACTGTACCGGTGCAGTGTCACTAACAAAAATTTTAGCGGATGTTTGGCATTGATAATGAATAAAAGATTATAATAAAAGAAATTAAAGATTTTAAATTTAATATTTACATTTTCATATATTTGCATGCATTATTAAATGAAGTAACAGTATCTGATTGATAAGAGAATCACTGTTTGTATAGGTGGAAAATAAAGAAGATATTAAACAACGTACATACATGCTTAATAGTGATTTATATATAAGTATTTAATTTTTTTCACATAAATGTATTTTTAAATAAAAATGTAATTAATTAAACAAGTTATATATAATAACATAACATAAATAGAAAATAAAAAAGAATAATATTTTAGGTCGCCGCATTTTTGTAATTACTCACTGTACGTTTGTTAAGAACTAAAAGACAGGACAGTGGCATTTTTGCATATATTTTAAAAAATATTGTTCTTAAAAATAATGGGACTACCTGTACTCCAATGCGAAATTGTGGCGAACTATATTGATGTAGTACCTGTATGATGTTTGGTTTTATTTACACCGTAATCATAAAAATGTAAAATCTCAGCCATACTTTGCAAAATCCTTAGTTTTTACACATACATACATAGATTTTTCGGTACCACAAAGTAGCGGGTAAATTATTTGCATATCAAATATTTATTCATTTCATTTAGCGGTCCCCTGTAGATAATAAATCAAACCATGGTAGAATTAAGAAGGTAAAGTCATGCAATCATATACATTTTTTCAAAATGATTCATTTGACAACATCTCATTGTCAATGTATATATTTATAAACCCATGGTAGAAAAATTCAGGTAACAGCAAGTGTTGTTGTACAACAATCGTAACAACTGTTCACGGATAAGTGAACATGTTTTTATAATAAAAGAGAATAGCGGGCCACCTAGTGTAGATGAGAGGGATTTGTTAAACAGGGATCTTCTTAATAGAGTCCACATTAAATAAGATAAGAAAATGTGGTGAGCAGACCTTCGAGTTAGAAATAATTAATACAGAATTTTGAATTGCTGCATGTATTATGGTGGAGTTACTTTATGGAAATTTAGATTAAGTCATATTATCATAACTAGTTCTTAAGAAATATTTTTAATAAATACATTTAGTGTCTTACAAACGCTCAAATGATAAAGACTTTGCGTCTTTTAATTATTGATCCCGGTTTACAACAACAATCACATACAAATTGGTTTTTGTACGTAATATAAGTGACAGAGTTATATGTCCGAAAATGTAAACAAAATAATTAATTCTCAACAAATTATTTTAATTTTAAATAATATACATTTTTGGAATTTGGATTATTAAATCTAAAATGCAGACGAATAGTTCCTCAATTATTTAGTTTGAATGCTTTCATACAACACTTCTAGCAATCGCTAGAGAATCGTGGAAAAAGCAACATCCCTTTCAAATTGAAAGCAAACTGCATACACACATAAAGTATTCTACATTTTGCAATTTTAGGAAACATGAAATATACGACAATAGGTGTGTCTGGTTACCCTAAAATTTGTAACAATTCTTACAAATTGTTACTGGAAGTCGTCTGTTAACCCAAAAGTTCTGCAAAAGAAAGCGGTCGGAGAGAGAAATTATGACAGTTCTTTCAGTGAGAGTTTGCAAATTCTTGCTGGACAAATTTCTTCTTGCAATCACTTGCAACTCTTCTTCACATTCATCAGCGTTCAATCAGATGTTTTCTATAGTTTGTTTATTTCTTTTTGTGCTTTCAATTTGAAAATATTTTTTTTTTTGGAATGGGCAAGACTAATTGTTTTTTGAGGTAAACTTTACAAAATGTGAAAAACTTAAATATTAATATGTAATAAGAAAATATAAGATTTTGCTGGACAATTCCTGCAGGAAAAGTAACCAGACACACCTTATGTTGCTTAATGGGGTGTCACTCCTCTTTAACCGCGAAAAATGTTTTCGCACCTTCGCAGTTGACGTTTTGTTAAGTACAACGGCTATGTTTTCTATTATTATAAGCCAGAAAATGCTCACATTGCCCTGCAGAGAAATTTTATACTTAACAAGTAAAAAAACATTAAGTTCGGCCGGGCCAAACTTTTAATACCCTTTACCTTAGGGTAAAACGGGAGGTACCGTTATATGGGCGCTACACCAAAACGTGGTCCTATAATTACAATGTTTCGCCACACGAACTAGGACCCATTATGACCCACAAATACCAATTTTTAGACAAATCAGTGAAAAAATGTGGCAAAAACCATCAAAATACCGAATATCTGGAGGTACCGTTATATGGGGGCTATATCAAATCATGGACCCATGCATGCAATGTTTCGCCACCGAAGCTGGAACCCATTATGACCAACAAATACCAATTTTCAGACAAATCAGTGAAAAAATGTGGCAAAAATCATCAAATTACCGAATATCGGGAGGTACCGTTATAAGGGGGCTATACCAAATCGTGGACCTATAATTCAATGTCTTGCCACACGCGCAGGGACCCATTATGACCCACAAATACCAATTTTTAGACAAATCAGTGAAAAAATGTGGCAAAAACCATCAAAATACCGAATATCGGGAGGTACCGTTATATGGGGGCTATACCAAATCATGGACCCATACATGCAATGTTTCGCCAGCGGAGCTGGAAACCATTATGACCCACATATACCAATTTTTAGCCAAATCCGTGAAAAAATGTGGCAAAAAAAATTAAAATACTCAATCATAGAGAAATATTTTCCAAATATTCAAATATAGTCGTTTTAGGTGATTTCAACATTAACTTATTTGATGTTTCCAAAGCAAACATTTGTCGCTCGTTTTGTGCCAGATACAATATGTCGATAATTCATAACTCAAAGCCATCGCATTTTGATTTAGCCAAAAGGTCGACATCGCTTATAGATTTTATGTTAGTAAGTGATGCTTCTTTCAAACATTTTTCTGGTCAAGTTCAATGTCCGTCTGTTTCTGATCATGCCCTCATCTTTGCATGCCTTATTTTCAATGTTTATTATCCGTCCAAATTCATAGTTTTTCGAAATTATAATATAATCGATTGGGATCATTTGTTTACTCTCTTGAGTGAGTTTGATAGCTATGCTTTTTATAGTTCAGTACATGTAAACATGAAATGTGAATTTCTAACAAATCTGCTTGCAGATCTTTTTTCTTGTGTTCCGGTTGTGCGAAAGGAAATTAATGTTAATTCAGACCGCTTGCTTGAAGCAATGGATGTAGATTTTACTAGATCGGCTAGGGACTTAGCTTTTTCTGCCTTCCAACATAACAGATGTCAAGCAAATTGGTCCACTTACCGCAGATATCGGAATAGGGCTAGGACCGTAATGCGCAGGGCCAAAAGGAAATTTTTCTCTAAACTCTTAGGTAATGCGAATTCTGCTGGAATATGGAAAATATTGAAAAACTATGGATGTGTAGAATCCGAAAATACTTCAATTGACATTAATGTCAATGACATTAATAATTTTTTTGCTCTAAATAATTCTGTGCAGGATAATGAAGTTGACTTCTCTCAATTTACTGACACAGATTCGTCCTTTTCCTTTCGCTGTGTTTCGGAAATTGAGGTCCATGAAGTTTTGAGCAAGATCAAATGCAAGTCGGTTGGTGTAGATGAAATTCCAATATACTTTCTTAAATTGGTTTTTCCATATATTTCTGACTTTGTTCTACATTTAGTGAACTACATTTTAACTAGTTCTTCATTTCCACAAGATTGGAAAACTGCGCGTGTTGTGCCCATTCCAAAATCAAAAAATGTTCAGGGTCCGGAAGACCTCCGCCCAATATCAATACTTCCAGCCATTTCGAAAATCGTAGAAGTTATTTTAAAGAACCAAATATTAGAACATACAAGCAGTTTAATTTGTGATACACAATATGCCTTCAGACGGGGTCACAGTACTACACATTTACTATTGAGAGCCACAGATTTAATCCGTTTGAATCTTAACGAAGGCAAAGTTAATGTTTTGATATCTCTTGATATTTCAAAAGCTTTCAATTCAATAAATTTTTCACTCTTGATTAAAAAGTTAAGACACACTTTTAATTTTTCATTGACTGCATGTAAGCTGATACTCTCATACCTTAAGGATAGGACTCAGTTTGTTTCTGTAAATAACTTTAAATCAAATTTGCTTTCCCTTTACAGTGGTGTACCGCAGGGTTCCGTATTGGGACCGCTATTATTTATCCTATACGTAAATGACTTACGTGCTTGCATTGACGTGGAATGTTGCTTAACGACCAATTTTATTTATGTCTCTTTTTCGCTATTCTGCAATGTCAGTCTTATGACTAAGAGGGAAATGTTATTTGATACAAAGAAAATATTTTGCCTTATAAAAAGAGAAAGAATCATCCAAATGAAAATCTATAGAAATTGTAATTAATGGATTTCAATGTAGTGTCGTCCGATTTCATAAGTAGTGCACAATACATAAGTAGTTCAAAATACAATACAAATGCGTAATATCCGTCCGAATCAAATCAATTTAGGTCCACGCAGCCAGGTTCAGTCTAGAAGTATATCTGGCAATCGGTTCAGATTTCGATGCTCCCAAATATATTTTCGTCCGATTTAAATTTTATTGTGCGCCACATGTTTAATATGTATCCAATATGGATGGATTTCGACACATCCGAGTGAATGCAACCCTGAAGCAAGTACTTCTAATTTGGTGAAAATCGGTATAGATATAGTTATAGCTCCCATATATATGATTCATCCGATTTGGGGTTTAAGTCCCTCACATTCGTAAAATATAATTCAAAAACATTTCTGACAAATTTCATCGAGATCGGTTCAGATTTGAATATAGATTCCATATATATATTCATACAATTTCATATTTATTGTGCACCAAATATGTAATTTTAGGTCAAGTTGGCTGGATTTTGGCACATTCAACTGAATTTATCCTGGAGCAAATACGACACTTGTTGAAACTCTGTTCCCATATGTGTATAATCTCTTTAGATATTTTTTAAGCGAAATGATGCATTAAAGAGATCGTGACAGAGAGCAGACTGTGTGACAGCTATTTTGATTGGGAGCGCTTTATAAGTGTTCGCACATATGGTTAACCGAAAATACTTTACCCATTAGCGCCGACGGCTGCGAAAACGCACAAAACGTATATATGCAAAGACGTTTATATGTACAATTTTGAAAATTTTATGAGTTAAATATAGGGCAAAGGGCTACCGATCCATACCCATACATATTTAAAAAATATTATTTATCTATATGTTTTCTTTGTATAATAGGGTTATTTTTTGCATGTGGGAAAACCTGCACTTGGCGATGCGTTTATCATTATGTAGGTGACGTCTGATGAAAAAAACAGCCAAAGTCAAATAAATAGACCCATCCATCTACTATCTATACCAAGAAACAGAAAAGCGATATCAAATATGAAACCGTTTCTATGCATTCTAAAAACACCTCTATTTTTGGTGCGTTTTCGCACCTGTCGGCGTTGATGGGTTAATAACATGTTCCTCAGCAAACCTCCGCAGCTTTATGCTTGAAATTGTTAAATAGATAATCAAAATGTACTAATTTTTAGACAATAAAGGACAAAACTATTAATTATCTACAATTGTCGGATTTAAATCCTCAAAACGTGAAAAATATTTGACGTATCTATAGCAATATTCAGATTCCTTCTAATTGATATTATTTTTTTATCGGTTTCAATCAACAAATGTGTACTATGAGCCACTTAGTTTTGACCATATTTGGCCACGATCGTGACACTGTGCGTCGTAGGTCCAGTTTTTCGACACTTTGCACTGGCATGTTTTAAAGGCAAAACCTCAAAGAAAGCAGGTATTCGTTTATGTGCATTGTGATGAGAACGACATTTGTGAATAATTTCGGAACGACCTAGATATACTACTTTTGACAAATGTTGACACACTAAGTGTGAAAGGGAAAGTCATTAAAAAATCAAAAGTGGTTTCAAATCGTTTTTTGGTTTTGTCTTCTGATCAATCTTAATAGGGAATTAATACTACTTTCGTTGAAAAATATAGGATCTATAGATCTACAAAGAAATGTCCGTATGAGGCGGTTGCTTAATAGATAATATTATATTCTTTTTTCTTCTAATATTCTTTTCAGTAACCCATACTATAAATGATTTAACTGTGGAATTTATTTGGGCTCGTAATCGCCTTTTTGACAAGCAGGATTGTGAAGATTATTACTTACTTTGTGTATCTAATCCTAAAGCTACTGTGGAAAGGGTTACAGTTAAACCGAAAAATAAGTGGAGACCAACACCAATGGATACGGTTGAATTAGAAAAATTGGGGTCAAGAAAATTGAAACTTTCTGCCAAAGAAGTAATGACAATTGCAGAGAAACTCTATACAAAAGGTATTATCAGTTATCCTCGCACTGAAACTAATATGTTTTCTAAAGAGATTGATCTACGCTCAATTGTGCAACAACAAACGCAACATGGAGTGTGGGGCTCGTTTGCAGAACGTGTCATGGAATGGGGACCAAACCCCAGAAATGGTACGAAATCTGATCAGGCTCATCCACCGATCCATCCCACAAAAATGGTCAATGGTAGGTAGAATGAAAAATAAATAACACCAAATGAAGATTTGTCATAATTTTATTTTTTTTAGATTTAAGTGGAAATGAAGGTAAAGTCTATGAATTGATATGTCGCCATTTTTTGGCGTGTGTTAGTAAAGATGCTGTCGGCTCCGAAACTATTGTTTACATATCAATAGAGGGTGAGAAGTTTTCAGCCAACGGTTTGGTAATATTTGTGCGAAACTACCTTGACGTATACATATACGATAAATGGAATGCCAAACAAATACATAAATACGAAGAAGGCCAAGTCTTCGAGCCAACCGAAATAACAATGCCTGAAGGGCACACCACAGCACCACCTCTTTTAACTGAAGCAGACCTAATTGCTTTAATGGAAAAACATGGAATTGGCACAGACGCAACACACGCAGAACATATTAATACCATCAAAGAAAGGGGATATATTGGGGTTGTGGACAATGGATCCCTGGTGCCTGGAGTCATAGGAATGGGCTTATATGAGGGTTATGATGCTATGGAATTGGCACTTGCGAAACCAATGTTGAGAGCTGAATTTGAAATGGATTTAAAAAAGATCTGCTTGGGCGAAAAAGATCCAAAAACAGTTCTCAGAGAACAAATTACAAAGTATAAACAAGCTTACAAACAAATAACGGATAAAATTAAAGCAATGGATGAAAAAATGGCGCAACGAATCGATGAAACGCCAAAAGAGCGAAACAGTAGCATCCAGGGATCGGAAAATGGAGTAGATCCCAGTTACAAACCAATACAGGAAATATTTAAATGTCCTAAGTGTTCAATTGCGCCCATGGCATTGAAACAGAAGAATAATAAACCTGGTCATTTTATTGGCTGTCTCAATTATCCCAACTGTAAAAATTGTATCTGGTGGCCAGATGAATGCAAGGATCCTTCAGTTTTGGATGAACACTGCCCAAAATGTGGATCCGAGTATAAACTAATAAAAATGCGATTCACTCTACCCTATCACAGAACATTGTTCAATAGTCCAAGTGGTTGGTATGAAACTTGTTTGCTTTGTGATGTGCAATTCCGCAATACATTTAATATAAATACGGACTGTGTTAAACGCACAGGCCCAATAGTCGGTGACACACCAATAAATTACGGCGCAGTCAACTCACTGCCTTCTACGAATGCAAGGAAACCTAAAAAAGCTTCTAAAACTATTGCCAAAGATGAATCAGCCACTATCTCCAACACTAAAAAAACAAATGCAACGACAACAAAAAGAACAAATAATAAAAAAACCAAAGTCCCCTCCGTCAGATCATATTTTACATCTGCTGAATTGTCAACTTCTCCGAATCCAGCCGCAAGTAAAGATTATGATGGATTTTTCGATAACAACGATGAATTTGAAGAATTTATACTAAGAGCGGAAGCAAATACACAACAATTACCCGCCACAGATAATTTAAATTCCAATTATACAGCTATGGCTGAATTTCCTCCACTAGAATCCGGTCTTTCCCATAATGTAGCGGATGTGTTGAATGACGACGATGACGATTTGTTTGCCAGTATCCCTATGGACTATACAACAATATCTAAACAAAACACGGCTAGCCGAGAAATAAATGCAACTGACTCCGTTCAATCGGAAAACTGGTTAGATGACAGCTTTTCAGCTGTATTTAACAATGATAATGATTTCGGTAACGATTACGTTTGGGGTAGTGCAGCAAAAAATGCAAAAATTTCTGAAAACTCTAATTTATCGAGACCAATTGTAAAGAGACAAAAATTACAGAATGAAGAGTCAGACGATTGGGGTTCAGGCGCGAGGTCTACATTTCCTGCAGCGGATGACAATGTTGTTAAATGTAGTGGTTGTCATTTAGATGCAAAAGAGTAAGTATCTTAACTATTACAATTTTCTATTTTATAATGACTGAATTTTAGGTTATGTGTTAAAAAAGACGGCCCCAATAAGGGACGTATGTTTTACGTATGCCCGAAAACTAATCCCTGTAAATTTTTCCAATGGTCTGATGATATTAATGTAAATCGTAACGATTTGGTGACAACCTCTTCTGATTGGGGATATGGCGTGGAAAATGATGGATCCTGGAAGTCTAATGAACAGGCAACCGTAAATTGTAATTGTAATCAACCAGCCAAAAACTTGACTGTTCGCAAGGATGGCCCCAACAAAGGTCGAAGTTTTTATGCTTGTTCGAACCGCGACAGCTCATGTGGATTCTTTCAGTGGATTGATGAAAACGCCGATCAAGGTAATGCATTATCAGCTGTAAATAAGTTTATACTAAATATAAATTTTTATTCAGAAGACTTTTCGTGGGGTAGTGGATCCTCGACGTCGTCAAAAAGTAAGCTATAAAATATTTTTTCTTATTAATAATAATACCATATTGTTTCTAATATGAAGGGAAATCAACTAAAACGGATGTGGGAACAACAAAAGGCCGTAAATGTGGTCTATGCCGACAGGAAGGACATAGTCGACCTAAATGTCCGCGCAAATCTGAATTTTAAATTTAGTTGTCATGAAATCAATATTAAAGGTTGCTTAACATATTTGTTTATGTTTCAAAATGTATATAATGAAGTACAATATACAAAATCTTGCTGGTTTTCTGGCAGGTCAATAGCTTTTTTATTTTATTGTTTTTTTTTTTTTTACAGTTTGCTAACATTTTGTATCTTTCTTTAACTTGTCTCTTATGTATATTAATCTCAAATGATATTCGTACGTATGTAAATGTCAACCGATATTTGTTAGAATTTTTAACTCTAGTAGTTGGAACATATTCCAATTTAAATCTATTTAGAATATCATAAAATTGATCAATTATTCCAGATCTTTATGGCAGTTACACAGGCACACAGAGGCCCAAGTTTTCGAAAATTAGTTTTTCTTTAACTTGTCTCTTATGTATATTAATCTCAAATGATATTCGTACGTTTGTAAATGTCAACCAATATTTGTTGGAATTTATAGCTCTTGTAGTTGGAACATATTCCAATTTAAATCTATTTAGAATATCATAAAATTGATCAATTATTCCAGATCTTTATGGCAGTTACACAGGCACACAGAGGCCCAATTTATGAAACAAATGAGGGTATTAAGTTTTCGAAAATTAGTTTTTTTGTAATTAAGGACAGTTTGAAATGAATCGGACTGACTTTCTTAAATTACATAACTGTAAGTCATGGAGATATATAAAGTTGGATGGTACATATCTTCAGGAGTGCATATATATAATATATCAAAATGCTGTGTTACATTTACAAATGCCAAATCAAGAGTTTTGCCGTGGGAATTTTTCACACTGTTTATTTGATAAAGATTTAAGTCACAAAAACAATTTATAACTTCAAATGTATACTGAGTACTGTTCATTTTGAATGACAAAGGAATCAAAGCTTCAGAATCTTGCTGTTGGGGCAACCCACATTAACAATATGGCATCTCATGTTGCAACATCCTATACGGCAACGCCCATATAATAGGACGCCGTGCTACCGCCATTTTAGCTTGCTCAGTCTTGTTTTGTCTGTCACTCGAGTCTGACTCACTACATTGTAACTTCTTCATTCTTTTTAAATTAGTAGCTGTGAACGCTCATCATCCAATAAATCTTTACACCTTTAGTATTAACAAACATTGGCTTTTATTCCAAACCATAAAAGTACAACAAAAGTGGCGACGAGGATAGTGGAAATTGATCAATAATTGCACACACAACAATCCGCAAAAATGTCTCAAGGCATAATTCTACAATTGTTAACAGAGCAACAAAAAGCAATGTCGCAACAAACGCAACTGCTAAAGCATATGGCTGATCTTCTTCAAGCACAAGGAGCACCAAATTCACCACACTCACCACAAACATCAAATTCATCCAAAGCAGCACTAATGGAATCAATAGCACAGTCAATGACAGCATTCGTATACGAGCCAGAGAGCGGTCTGATATTTCAAGCGTGGTACAACAGGTTTGTGCATGTTTTCGAAAAAGAAGCAAGCTCACTCGAAGAACATGACAAAGTGGCCTTGTTATGGAGAAAAATGTCGAACCAAGTACATGAAAGATTTGCCAACTACGTATTACCAGCAAAACCTGAAGACATGACTCTAAAGGATACAGTAGAGAAACTCAAGAAACTCTTTGGTAAAACAGAAACACAAGTCTCACAAAGATACAAATGCCTTCAGCTAGCAAAAGGCGACAGCGAAGATTTCAGAGAATACGCAAGCAGAGTAAACCTACAATGCGAACTATTCAAAATGAAAGAACTGAAAATCGACCAATTCAAATGTCTCATTTTCGTCTTAGGACTCAAGTCAGCAAAGGACAACGACATAAGACTTCGCTTACTAAAGGTACTGGATGATGAAAACACTACAATGAACCTAGATCAACTAGTAGACGAAACACAACGAATTCTAGATCTCAAATCGGACAACATTCTCATTGAGCAATCAAAAATCGTCTGTTCACTCAACAAGCACGCAAAAGACTTTAAGAAGCACAAAACACCCAATTCACCCTGTTGGTATTGCGGAGACCTTCACTACGTCAAATTTTGTCCTTTCCAGAAACATAAATGCACAACATGCAATCAAGTGGGTCATAAAAATAACTTTTGCAACATCGCTAAAACTGGTAAGAATTTCAAATCATCATCTGAAAACAACCAGAACGAATTCAAGAAATACAGCAATTCAAGGAAATCATTCAAAACTAAGGCAGTTTTCAAAACACACAACATTAATTTCCGCGACTTAAGGAAATACACAACTGTCCTAATTAACAACAATCCTGTAAAATTTCAAATTGATACTGCATCAGACATATCAATTGTATCTATCAACACATGGAAAGCTATAGGTAAGCCTGAAGCCTACGAAACTTTTGACAACGCTAGCGACGCAAACGCAAACTCAATCAAGCTCCTAGCAGAATTTCAATGTGACGTCACAATCGACAAAACAACGAAAACATTAAAATGTTATATAACAGATATAGAAAAACTCAATATCATGGGAATCGATTGGATTCAAGCATTCAATCTATGGCAGAAACCAATAACCTCATGGTGTCATCAAATAAACTTCGTTGATGAAATAGCAGAATTGAAAACGAATTATCAACCAGTTTTTGATAACAGTACCCCAGGTCTGTGCAAAACAAAAGTCAACATACAATTATTGCCAAACACAAAAGAAATATTCGTTCCCAAACGACCTGTTCCTTTCGCAGCAAGAAAGGAAATTGAAACAGAACTCCTCAGATTAGAAAACGCAGGAATAATCACACCGGTAGATTCATCGAGGTACGCAGCGCCGATAGTGGTCAGCAAACGTAATGGAAAAATTCGAATATGTGCAGACTATTCAACAGGACTAAACTCAATAGTAGAACCTAATCAGTATCCATTACCAACACCGGAAGAAATCATGTCTGATTGCCACAACTGTGTAATCTTTAGTCACTTAGATCTCTCAGACGCATACTTACAAGTCGAAGTTGACGACGAAAGTAAAGAGCTTCTCACCATCAATACACACAAAGGTCTATATAAGTTCAACCGTCTAACCCCAGGTATAAAATCAGCTCCGGGAGCATTTCAAAGGATCATGGATAAGCTATGCGCAGGCATAGAAGGAGCAAAAGCATATATAGACGACATCATGTTATCAAGTCCATCTATTCCGGAACATAAATTAAATTTAAACAAGCTTTTACAAAGAATTCAAGATCACGGATTCAAGCTGAAATTTGAAAAATGCCAATTCTTTCAAAAACAAATCAAATATCTAGGACACATAATAAGCAAAGATGGAATCAAACCTGACCCAATCAAAATAGCAGCCGTTCAAAATCTTAAAACACCAGAAAACGTCTCGGAAGTAAGATCGTTATTAGGCTCTATTAATCATTACGGGAAATTTGTAAACAACATGAGAACACTACGTAAACCTCTTGACGATCTACTAAAAAAGGACGCCAAGTTCGAGTGGACGTCACAGTGTCAAAAATCATTAAACGACTTTAAGAACATCTTGACATCAGATCTTCTTTTAACGGATTACAATCCAAACTTGCCTATACATGTAGCAGCCGATGCATCAGCTCACGGAATCGGCGCGTTTATCTATCATATGTTTCCAGACAACACTATGAAGGCAATACATCATATTTCCAGATCACTCACACAAGCGGAAAAGAATTACAGCCAAATAGAAAAAGAAGGCCTAGCCCTTATATTCGCCGTTCAACGGTTTCACAAAATGTTATTCGGACGCAAATTTACTTTACACACCGATCACAAACCCTTACTCGCAATATTTGGTTCAAAGAAGGGAGTTCCAATTTACACAGCAAATCGTTTACAACGATGGGCCCTTATATTACTGGCTTACAACTTCGAAATTAAATACACAAACACAAAGGACTTTGGTCACGCTGATGTATTATCAAGATTAGTCAACAATCACGAAAAACCAGCAGATGACTTTATAGTGGCTTCAATATCATTCGAAGAAGACATACGTAACGAGATAAATGAAACTATGTCAGTTCTCCCAGTATCATTTAAAATGATCGTCGATGCAACAACAAAACACACGGATTTACAAATGGTCCTCAAATACATTCAAACAGAATGGCCAGAAAGCAAGAAAAATATTAACCCATCAATTATTCAATTTTTCAACCGCAAGGAAAATCTTTCAACCTTCGATGGTTGTATTCTCTTCAATAATCGTATAGTAATTCCTAAATCATATCAGAGACAAATCTTACAACAACTTCACAGAGGACACTTATCAGCAGAACGCAGCAAAGCCATCGCCAGAAGTTATGTTTATTGGCCAAACATCGACAAACAAATTGAAGACTTTGTTCGGAAATGCAAAAATTGTCAACATGCGGCAAAAAGTCCAGTAAAAACAAATCTTTGCCCATGGCCATTAACTTCACACCCTCTTGAAAGGATACATATAGACTATGCTGGTCCAGAAAAAGGTAAATATTATCTTCTTATCATCGACTCGTATTCAAAATACCCTGTTATATACGAGACAACAACGACAACCACATATGCAACATTAAAAATGTTAAACGAATATTGTGCACTCTTCGGAAATCCTGAACAATTGGTCTCGGACAACGGAACACAGTTCTGTTCAGAACAATTTGAGAAGTGGTGCAGCAAAAAAGGCATTAAACACACAAGGACTGTTCGTTTTCATCCAAGTTCAAATGGACAAGCCGAGCGTTTCGTTGATACACTTAAACGTGCATTAAAAAAACTAGAAGGGGAAGAAACGCCTACGGAATCTCTCCAAACCTTCCTAGAAGTCTACAGATCCACACCAAATCCAAATGCACCAGAAGGTAAGTCTCCAGCAGAATCCTTCATCGGAAGAAAAATGAGAACGGTCTTCGACGTTCTAAGGAAGCAACAATCGCCTGAGTATAACGTCAATCACAAAATGGAACAGCAGTACAATACCAAACACGGTACCAAAAACAGAGAGTTTAGCAACGGAGAATTGGTCTATGCCAGAAACTTCAAAGGAAACAAAAGTTACTGGACAACAGGCGAAATAGTCGAGCGTAAAGGGAAAGTCATTTACAACACTCTAATCGACGTTGGGGACAGGAAAATTCTAGTACGAGCTCATACTGATCAACTTCGACATAGAGAATCGGTAGAGTCAAGCAGACAAGAACGACAAAAACTACCATTGGACGTACTACTTGAAGAATTCGAAATCGCTTTGCCTAACCATCAAGAACATTTTGCAACTCCAACAGGTTCACCAAACTGGACACCTCAAAGAATAACAAGTCGCAGACAACCAGTCGATCCTATTTCAAGATCACCTTCTCATCTTAAGGAGGGAGATGTTGGGGCAACCCACATTAACAATATGGCATCTCATGTTGCAACATCCTATACGGCAACGCCCATATAATAGGACGCCGTGCTACCGCCATTTTAGCTTGCTCAGTCTTGTTTTGTCTGTCACTCGAGTCTGACTCACTACATTGTAACTTCTTCATTCTTTTTAAATTAGTAGCTGTGAACGCTCATCATCCAATAAATCTTTACACCTTTAGTATTAACAAACATTGGCTTTTATTCCAAACCATAAAAGCACAACACTTGCATTGGAAGACACCTAATGGAAGGCATATTAAAATCACAAAAAATCAGGATGCAATTGGAATCTTTCATTTTTTCAGTGATCAAGTGAAGATGAAGGTGGAATATAAGAACAAGTCACAAATAATTTAGATTTGCCCAATTCAATGAAAACATCAATGAATTCTATATCAAGAAAATCATTTAGATCAATTAAATAAGTAGTATATTTGGCATCAACTACAATAAGGACGCCACCACATTTTTTACAAACACGATCTTTTCTAAATATTTGATATTTTGAACATAACATTTCACAATTTAATATATATGTTTTTAACCAAGTTTCGGAAAAACCTATACATTATAATAGAAACCAATGCTATCAGTATATAAACTGGTTAATTTTGTATTAAGCCCCTTACATAAATTATCAGATCTCTCCAGAAATTCTTTAATAAATGCCTTAGCAGGCCAAAATTGTTTTAAAATCAACTGTACAAAAATGTTTTCAGGCACAACGGCCATTCTTTCTGGTGCAAACCTTGTCGTAAATATCATTTTCATTGCGAGAGCCATAGATAATGATCTTTGGACAGGTTGAGTGTTGCCAGTCTCGGGACGATCACTAGATATCGGAAGTGATAATTTCGGAATGTCACGAGTAGATTGTGAGGTTTCTTGTAGATTGTCAGGTTTTTCAATACTCATAACCTCAGGATTATTGACCCCTTTATTTATATCGCTATTAATTGCCGGAACTGGGTGTGTAACAACGCTGGCATACGACTGTTCACGCCCAGTTTCAGTTGTATCAGTGGTATTAACTGAAACCGGTTGTGAAACAGTGTTCTCCACAGAAACTGCCTTTGCCTTTTTCGCAGCCTTTTTGCGTTTCTGACCAGAAACTGACAGTGACGACACAAACTCATCTAATTCTTGGTATTTCTCAAACAATGTAGAGAAATTCTCAAATCGGACTGAACACCAACATTATTTCTTATTGTGTCATTAATCCTAGCACATTTATCATGCCATTGATTAAGACAAAACCATGGTACAATGAAGAGAAGGTAGGCCAACTTTGAAAAAATTGCAAGTATAGAGGTCTACCTGTTTGGCTTGTAATGTCAGAATTAGTATCAAAACAATAAAAAATCAAACAACTTGTTGCATTTATTTTGAATAAATAATTGAAAACCGCGATAAATGAATGAAAGGTCAACACTTCTTTTTAAAATCGTGTACTACACATCTCAAAAGGATTATTTCGCTACAAAAACGCTAGATTTTGTCGATGCATACGTTGAAATAAACATTTTGAAAACACCCGAATTTGAATGTTTTCTGAACAATTTTTTTGTTATTGAAAAAAAAAAAAAAAAAAAAACACATACATAAACAAATAAATATGACATATTAAGCCAAGAAAATAAAAAAAAAATTAAAATCATATGGTATCATAGCCCTACCTTGATATCATTGTACCATGTGTAGGTGGATTTTTATACCCTCCACCTTGGAAAGGAGGGTATACTAACTTTGTCATTCCGTTTGTAACATCCTTAAATATTCCTCTTAGACCCCATAAAGTATATATATTCATAATCAGCATAAAATTCTAAGTCGATATAAAGATGTCCGTCTGTATGTCTGTCTGTTGAAATCACGATACAGCCCACATTATTTGACGTACAGACGTACAGCAGAGCTATTTGCATTGTGTCTAGGATGGTTGGTATTGAAAATGAGATATATCGGTCCACGTTCTGGTACAGTCCCCATATAACGGTACCTCCCAATATTCGGTATTTTGATGATTTATGCCACATTTTTTCACGGATTTGTCTGAAAATTGGTATTTGTAGGTCATAACCGGTCCCTGAGCGTGTGGCAAAACATTGTTGGTTGGTATTGAAAATGAGGTCCACGTTGTGGTATAGCCCCCATATAAAGGTACCTCCCGATATTTATTTATTTATTTATTTCATCCATTTCTGTAATACAAAGCCTATAAGACCACATACAAGTATTACTAGTTACAAAATTAAACCTGAGCTTATAGTAATAATACAACTCTTTCATATCTACTAAAATACATAATTTTTTACTTGGCTCCCCAGCCATCTATTATTAAGAAAAGAAAAATATATAAATGTCCTAGACAACAATAACTCTAGATTAGTCCATCATTTTAATTCATTGCCAAATGAAGTCGCAATTTCCTTTTAAATACATTATTAGTATGCGAGAATATTCTAAGTTCATGTGGAAGCACATTCCAAACGCGTGCAATCCGAACTACAAAGGATCGCGCATAAATATTCCTACATATCCTAGGTATAATCAATTGAGGCTTTCTGGTTGAATGTGAAAAGGAAAAAAATCTTGCTAATGATGCAGGCTCACCATTTTTAACTACATTATAAAATCCAACCAGGATACGATAAGATATGAAATTGTTAAAGGAACAACCCAGAAAACACTTAACATAACCAGGAATATGACTTCTTAAAGGAATCTTATAGACAAAGCGTACAATTGAATTTACAATTTTCCGCAACCGAGAGAGATGCCCACCAATGCAACCTGACACAATCTCAATACCATATAAAAAGGTAGACATAAGCAATGCATGAGCTACCTGTTTCTTAACATGAAGAGGCATATACAAATTTGATGCGTATATTCTTCTTAATAAAAAACAAATTTTGCCAGATAAAATATCAATGTGATTACTAAACGATAGTTCATTATCAATAGTAACACCCAGAACTTTATGGTGTTCAACAAAACCAATAATATTATTGCCTAAAACAATGTTTAAGTTCGATGATGCATTTTTGGACATGCCAAACAACAGTGCTTTGGACTTAGATGAGTTAACTGTTAGATGATTTGCTGATGCCCAACTTGAAAATTGATGGAGGCACATGTTGATAGTATTTTCTAACAAAGATAAATTATCTCCTCGACCAGTAAATAATAAGAATATATCATCGGCAAACTGAAATGTTGTGCAACATTCCACGTCAATGCAAGCACGTAAGTCATTTACGTATAGGATAAATAATAGCGGTCCCAATACGGAACCCTGCGGTACACCACTGTAAAGGGAAAGCAAATTTGATTTAAAGTTATTTACAGAAACAAACTGAGTCCTATCCTCAAGGTATGAGAGTATCAGCTTACATGCAGTCAATGAAAAATTAAAAGTGTGTCTTAACTTGTTAATCAAGAGTGAAAAATTTATTGAATTGAAAGCTTTTGAAATATCAAGAGATATCAAAACATTAACTTTGCCTTCGTTAAGATTCAAACGGATTAAATCTGTGGCTCTCAATAGTAAATGTGTAGTACTGTGACCCCGTCTGAAGGCATATTGTGTATCACAAATTAAACTGCTTGTATGTTCTAATATTTGGTTCTTTAAAATAACTTCTACGATTTTCGAAATGGCTGGAAGTATTGATATTGAGCGGAGGTCTTCCGGACCCTGAACATTTTTTGATTTTGGAATGGGCACAACACGCGCAGTTTTCCAATCTTGTGGAAATGAAGTACTAGTTAAAATGTAGTTCACTAAATGTAGAACAAAGTCAGAAATATGTGGAAAAACCAATTTAAGAAAGTATATTGGAATTTCATCTACACCAACCGATTTGCATTTGATCTTGCTCAAGACTTCATGGACCTCAATTTCCGAAACACAGCGAAAGGAAAAGGACGAATCTGTGTCAGTAAATTGAGAGAAGTCAACTTCATTATCCTGCACAGAATTATTTAGAGCAAAAAAATTATTAATGTCATTGACATTAATGTCAATTGAAGTATTTTCGGATTCTACACATCCATAGTTTTTCAATATTTTCCATATTCCAGCAGAATTCGCATTACCTAAGAGTTTAGAGAAAAATTTCCTTTTGGCCCTGCGCATTACGGTCCTAGCCCTATTCCGATATCTGCGGTAAGTGGACCAATTTTCTTGACATCTGTTATGTTGGAAGGCAGAAAAAGCTAAGTCCCTAGTCCCGATCTAGCAAAATCTACATCCATTGCTTCAAGCCAGCGGTCTGAATTAACATTAATTTCCTTTCGCACAACCGGAACACAAGAAAAAAGATCTGCAAGCAGATTTGTTAGAAATTCACATTTCATGTTTACATGTACTGAACTATAAAAAGCATAGCTATCAAACTCACTCAAGAGAGTAAACAAATGATCCCAATCGATTATATTATAATTTCGAAAAACTATGAATTTGGACGGATAATAAACATTGAAAATAAGGCATGCAAAGATGAGGGCATGATCAGAAACAGACGGACATTGAACTTGACCAGAAAAATGTTTGAAAGAAGCATCACTTACTAACATAAAATCTATAAGCGATGTCGACCTTCTGGCTAAATCAAAATGCGATGGCTTTGAGTTATGAATTATAGACATATTGTATCTGGCACAAAACGAGCGACAAATGTTTGCTTTGGAAACATCAAATAAGTAAATGTTGAAATCACCTAAAACGACTATATTTGAATATTTGGAAAATATTTCTCTATGATTGAGTATTTTAATTTTTTTTGCCACATTTTTTCACGGATTTGGCTAAAAATTGGTATATGTGGGTCATAATGGTTTCCAGCTCCGGTGGCGAAACATTGCATGTATGGGTCCATGATTTGGTATAGCCCCCATATAACGGTACCTCCCGATATTCGGTATTTTGATGGTTTTTGCCACATTTTTTCACTGATTTCTCTAAAAATTGGTATTTGTAGGTCATAATGGGTCCCTGCGCGTGTGGCAAAACATTGAATTATAGGTCCA